GTGCATTTATAGTCTTGTCTGTATTTATTGTGGTCAGTTTAATAGTCCTGGTTATTGAAAAGTTATGGTATAAAAGTTCGCTGAATAAAGCAAGTCTCAATCCAAAGTGTAAAGAAAAAGATAAAGAAGAAGAAGGTCATCCTGGTATATGGCAACGTTTTACTCATCCTTCAGCTGACCTACCAAAACCAAAATTAGATCTATCACGGAATCCTACACTAAAACAGTTAAGATATGCTGGTCATAGAAGAGCGTCAGCAGCTTACGATGCTACTGTAATCACTGTCGACCACCATCATACGGAATCAGCAGATGTTGATTAGAGGTGTCGGGCTGGACAGCGTGTTTATATGATATGATGGAAGAATGCTTACTAACAACCACAATGTGCTGTCAGAGTGAAAGAACAGTGAAGAATAATCAACCAATCAAGAATGGATGTAGTGAATTTTATTTAAATTAGTATTGAATAACGGTAGAACTGACCAAACTACTTCTTTTCTTTCGGTTTTTCTTTAATGTAAAAGTGACAAGGGATAATTTGCACAAGTACTAGTCAACCTTATGTTTTATCATTAGTTGAATTTATTGTTTATGTAGTAGTTACTGGATTAGGCAATTTCTAGCGTTCACACCTTTGGATAAAATCTGTATGTGTGTGTGTTACATTATAAATATAAATACGTGTTCAATAGCAGTAAAATTGTCTCACTAATTTTATATATTTGGACTTACCATCATCAATAGACTTCTGTACTTTTTCATTCTGAAAAGTTCGACTCTGATAGTGGTTTCAACAGCACATCACCACTTTGTTCTGTTTTCTGCCGTCCTCTTCCGTTGAGTCCACGATTGATCAAACTCTCTCACCTCTTCCTCACACGGTCTCCTCCATGTCACCCTCGCACCGACGGCCCTCTCGTCGATTCCTATTTGGATTCAACTAGAGTCACGTGTGAGCACTACTGATTAGTTACAAACTGAAGAACAGAAAACTCACCATTCTTGCATGCTATCGAATGATTACATTGCTGATGTACTTCGTTCAGGGGGAAATCGTCTTCAACTCCGTGATTTCTCCACAAATTTATTTCTGGCCGGTAGTATTGTTCTCTAACACATCCTGAAAGAGCGCGAACTAATTTCATACAAGATTTCAATGCAACTGCAAAACAAACATTCTTACTAGATCAAGAATTTCCATTTAGCCACAGTACACTCAAAGAAACCAGCTATTTCATCCGCGAATACATGGATGACAGTCACCTCAGCACGAAGATAGCAACCATCGGCATAAGAATAAAACTTGTGTACTGTGGTAGAGTATAATTACATTATGGGTAAATTTTGTTTTGATAAAGTCTCACAGTGTTAAACAGTAATGTTTACTGATGACGTTTCGAGCACAATTTATTGCTCATAATCATATCAAGGTAATCACACGACTTCCTAAATTCATTTATATAGTTGCATTGTTTTTCTCTTGATTTTCACTTGATTTGATTGGTAATAGTATTTTCCATATTTCAGGTATGAGTGACGAGTCATTCCTATTGCATGTGTTGGGTGTAGACTCGATGAACAAGGATTCAGTAATCAACCTCTCTCTCCACCTATTTAGATTACTTTTAAGAATTTTAACCCTCTCCCACCCTACTGTGTGGTTAGGTGTTAATGCATGCATTGCAATTGCTGAGCTTTTTTCTAAATTACTTATCTTCTCTGGGTCAACCATTCTTACCTTAGCTAAATTCTTATGCTCTGACAATCTGACTACCCCTGACCTACTAGTTTGACCTATTTAGTTGACTTAACTCACAATCACTGCAAGGTATTTTGTAAATTAAATTATTTTGTCTAATTGGATCAACTGGGTCCTTTAACCTACACATCTTGTCTCTGAGTGAGTTTGTAGGTTTAAATGCCACCCTAATTCCTACTTAATTTAGATTCCTACATAGTGAGTCAAATGTCCCCTCTTTATATGGTGTAAGTGTGGATGACTTATATTCTCTTATTTATGTTATTATTACTAGTTTCACAATTATTTTTATTTTGTTTTGGCCTTTAATGATCTTCTTAAAATATATAGACAAACAGAAGGTGTAGCATTGGGATCACCAATATCCCCTATCAAGTGAAAAACAATGGAACTACGTAAATGAATTAAGGAAGTCGTGTGATTACCTTGATATGATTATGAGCAATAAATTGTGCTCGAAACGTCATCAGTAAACATTACTGTTTAACACTGTGAGACTTTATCAAAACAAAATTTACCCATAATGAGAGATACCAACCAGCCTCACATCTCATGCACTTTTTTTAACATAACATAACATAACATAAGCTTTATTCCAAATCAGTAATTGTGATACAGAATGGAATTCTCAGCATTTTACTACAATATTGCATCCAGTTTTTACAATAACAATAAATAAAGTTCTACATAGATTAAAGTTATCTCAACAACATATTAGTATGTCGGTAGCAAAGCCAAAATTAAAGTGTTTGAAGGTGTTAGAAAAGTAGATACTACTAGCATATTTACTGGCGTAAGCGATAGCAAAATGGTCGAGATATACAGAGTGTGAAAGAACGAACAAGAATGTTTTAAGTAGAGTTTGTAAGGAAGAGAGAAACAAAACAACACAACAAAAATAAATACAGAATGAAAAAAAGTAGAGAGAAAAGGTTGTACCTGTAAATGATGTGAGTTGGAAAGACGAGATCCATTGGTTCTACTGACTATTTAATAAGTTAAAGGTTTCATGCCTGATGCATTCTTTATCGCAGAGAACACGGGCTAGGTAGGGTATGGATGAGTTTTTGTACTTACTAGTGCGGGCATATAGTTTCCTATATAGGCTTCTTGTTTTCCCTGAAGAGATACATGGGGAGAGTTGTGAATGCAGAGGGTGTTGTGAGTCAGATAAAATGGATTTCGCCCATTTTTCACATGAGTCCATATGCCTGTCCACCAGAATATTAACAAGCTGGCTAAGTGGCAAACTGCTTACCCTGCTGACAACCTTTAACATCCTACGTAATAAGGTATAGTCTTTCTTCAATAGCCCAGGAAAGACTAAGGGGGAGCAATAGAGAATAATAGGCAGAATACGGGAGTTAACAAATTGTAGGAGTAAGGGTTGGGTTACACCAGAATGTCTTAACTTCTTGATGTAGAAGGTAAGACGGTATATTTTCTTGGAAATCGTCAAGATATGAGACGACCAGGAAAGATCAGAAGATAGAGTGACGCCTAGGTATTTAATTTCCGACTTGGTTTCTATTTCACTGCCATCTATGTTGCACACCTCGTGAGTGCTAACCAGTTTGTTTAGGTCAGATTTATGCCTAAGAGTGAAATTAACTGTTTGGCATTTGGAGGGGTTTAAGGTTAGACCGTTTTCCTTGGACCATTGGCTAATTTCCGATAAGGAGCCATTTAGTTTAGAGCAGTCACTTTGACATTTGACAGGTAAAGATACAGTTAGGTCATCAGCATATTTGACAAAGTTAATGTCATTTGAAGACGGTAGGTCATGTAGGAAGAAAGAAAAGAGAAGTGGGGAGAGTACAGCACCTTGGGGGACACCAGCTTCTGTGAGCACAGCAGAGGAGGATTGGCCTTTGTATACGGTGTACTGCATTCTGTTTGAAAAGTAGGAATGCAACCAGTTAGTGACCCAGGACTCGGTTTGTGTCATGGAGAGCTTATTTAGCAAGAGACTTCTAGGTACAGAGTCGAAAGCAGAAGTGAATTCAAGAAATGTGCAGCGGACATATTTGGCACCTTTGTCTAATGATGAGATAATACTGTTGTGTAAGACGGCTGCAGCGTCTAAAGTACTCCTACCCTGTCTGTAGGCAAATTGTTTGGGGTCTTCGAAGCTTTTAAGGGAGGGTTCAAGTTTAAGAAGTACTAGTTTTTCCATGAGCTTTAGGAACTTGTAACTAACATCAACATTCAGTGTAAAAATTGAAGGTCATTTCAATAGTGACACGTACAGACAAGTGATGAGGTTGGCATGGTCTCTACTAACAGCACGAATTTGGCAGAACGCTTCATGCCTAGTTTCGACGAGGGAATCTTCGAACCACCTGTAGAGAGAATACTGCCGTACAGAAGGTATACCGACGACACTTTCACAGCTTTTATAGTGATTCTGATAGACATTCCCTCTAACAGGTAATGAGTAGTTCTCATTCTTCAAGTGAATCAAAGCGGTAGGAGGAAATGAATCAGAGACTCCACTGCTGGATGTACAATTAACAGTCAGACACCATAGGATTATGGAAGCGTCATTCTACAGAATACATTCACGGAACAGCCAGACAACAAAATTTCACCTGCTTATCGTTTTAGATGAGTGTGTAGCATTCAATGAATATACATATAAGCACCACGGACGATGTCTCAAGCTACTTATTTATATTCTTCGTAGTATTACTGCTCTTCAAGCCCGTTTTCATTTCCCTACACTCTATCTTTGAATACTTCATTATTTCTATCATCTTACACACGGTACTATGATTATAACCACAAAAAATTTAATTGCATTTCATGCTGGTAATATTCCAAGCATTAACACCTTGGTTTAAATATAGTCTCTTAATATAAAAAACCACATGCATATGATTTATGATTGTATAGCTTGATAATAAGTTCGTTTAAAAGAGTCTCTTAGCTGAAAATGGTATTCTTAATGTTAGTTAACAAAGGAATCGGCAAACTACTGGACCTGTCCTGAGTCAAACCTCACACCTTGGCACTTAACATTATATTGGTCCACTCCTTTCTAAGTTAAAGTATCCAATAATCTTTTCTACATCTAAGGTGTTGTCAATTAACGAATCACAAGACAGTAAATTTTTCAGTAACAGTTGTCTTATAAGAAGTGAAGTGGTGGATTAGTGTGTCACACAATAAAACACTGACATCAACCAAATCTATTTGGTCATTTCGTACATGAGAGGATTGTGGTGGTAACAGCCAAATGATTCTGACAAAATCAATGGAAAAGTTGACTGTTGAATTGGGCAGTATTTTGAAGGATGACATGAGAATTGATGGAGATTTGGGCTGTGTGCTGTTAGATCTTTCTTCTGATGGTATAAATCGTGAATTTGCATTGATGACTGACATGAAGTGGAAGCCTGATTATGATAGGTACGAACTGAATTATGATAAGGAATCATGGATGAAGTGTGCTGCCACAGCGGCTGCTTATATGTACAAGTCTGTTGGTGAGAGTGTATCACAGCCATTACGCGTATGGCTAAGCAATGCAGCGAGTGCAATGATTCTCCAAGGACTACTTGGAGAGTTGACTACTTCATCAACACAAGCAGATACGAAGAGAAATGCAAAATGAGAGAATATATCACTTCCTGATTCTGTTTTAGATGATCGTTCGGATGGTTATTGGTATTATGGTAGTTGGACAGTGGAGAATGTGGCGACTAGCTCCGAGATAAGAGGTGTGTTGAGAGCTGAGATGGCGAATGCATGTATATCAGTGATGATTGTCTCTGTGGTCAATTACTTTGAGGAGAATCGCTACACACCTGGCGGGTTCAGGAAGGACAGTTATGCGTGAGGAGTACTTGGAAGTGGTGTCATGGAGAAATATGGTCTGACGAGTCAGATAAGACGAAGGCAATGCTGATCACTCGTCATCGGGTATCGAAATTAGTGGTTTTCGGTATGGCTACGGAAGACCGACTACTTAGGCACCCAATTAGACCTGTGAAGAGGATCGGTTACGAGCAGTCTCTCGATAAAATGGATATCAGTTATTATTTCCTTGATGTCTCGGCTGGCTTCACATACACACGAATCGCCCACGCCATAGCCAGAATAATGGTTCGATCTGTGTGCATCCCCTACTTTGATAACTTTCTTGAGCTGATTGAATTATTAGAGCTTTACTTTCAAATAGTTGATGATCCATTTCATTATCATATCGATGGTGAGTATTGGACTGGTTCACCAAGGACAAGCATCAGTGACATAGGGAGCAAGCTCTTTGGTCGACTCATCAATTGTCTTAGCATCTTTGAACCAAGAAGCGAACTACTGCTTTATCCTCAATTGCGTATGAATGGAGAAACACGTGAAAAGCAGTACTTGGACTACAGTGATCGATGGGAGAATATTTTGTTGGTGATTTTGGATGCGATTGCCATGTCAACTGAACTTTCCTTAATGGATACGCTGATTAAGAGGTGCAGTATTTCAAACAAATTTCCGCCGGACACTGAGATGCTGAAAAGATGTTGGAGTCGGTACGACGTTATTGATCAAACACAGGAGTTGATTCGTATGCGTTTCTCCTCAAAATGAGAGATCATTTATCGCATTGTAATCTCAACATGTAGAATGAATGTTTCAGAATTCTGTCAAACTACAGTTTTAACATTTTGAATGAATATTCACTTGGTCCTGTCGAGTCTGTCTTTTCATTGTCGTTGGACTACTGTTTGGTGATTAGATGGGAGACTGGGTGAGTGAGTTTATGATGCATTTTGTGTTCTAGCTTCATGGTCAGGATAGCCTGATATTTGTGTTTCAGATTTAGCTTATGATGTTTTTGAGTAGAAATGATTTGAACATTAGGATCAGCGATTGTGTTGATTGACATTTGAATACATTAGGCAGATATATTTACTGACTGTATACTGTTCATTGTGGATAAAATATTCTCCTTGTATGAATTGCAGTCTTTAGTTGAAATGTCAGCACAGATTGAAAGCAGTTGGACCACTGGGAAACGCCATGTCTTCATACGATTAGCAATATGAATTTAGGAAAGCGCTGTATACGTCATCAGATGTTTGGAGAGTACTGGTGATGTCGATAGTGCTTGTGTTCATATAACAGTGAACGAAATATTTTCCTGCACCATAGATTATTCCGTTTCACTCATGCTCTCTCTCTGCGAATTCAAATTTTATTCACTAAGCCGACGTTGAAGATTCTGATGGCACTCAACATCTTTATTTACCCCGGCCATCTCAGTATTTCGTTTACGAGAGGAGGACTTGACTGTCTCGTGTTCTGTGACAGTTGCATAGAGCATAGTATTTTTTTTATTTTTTTTTTGATTTAGAGCTTGATTCCACACTGTATTTTTGGTACAAGTATGGAATTTTCAGCATAGATATCGGTAGCCCAAATTTTTGCAGGCCGACCATAGATATCAGGTGTGCGCCGGCGTGGGCTCGAACCCCGGACCATGTGCATGGTCGGCGAGAGTCCTAACCACTGTGCCACCGACGCGTTGACATTATTATCATTGTTGTTATTATTTCCTGTAATATTGTAGGAAGATGTTGGTTGAAATGCGCTGTGTTTCTGATTTCTCGATTTAGTTTAGGGGCTGTTAAGAGGTATGCGTGAATGTTATATTCGTGGTGAAAGTGAACAACAGAGGCCAGATGGAAAATATTTGACGGTGATTTGAAGTAATTCTTTGTTTGACAGAAGAATGTATAAAGCATGTTGTAAAAATCGGTGTGGAGTGGAATTCGTCGAATAACTTTCAAACTATACATTGAGATTTGTCCATTTTATAGTTGCTGGTGTTAACAGTTAAAATTAATATCGACGACGCAGTGTCTGAGCTTGGCCCTCGCTTGAAACATAGGTGAATTTTATTCAAACGTTATCTGTATTTGAGACTGATAATTGTAGGGCTCATGGATAATCAATCGATACGAAACGAATGACTATCAGACGACGACGGAAACACCCGTGAAACATGTGTGAAGTGAAATATATATCATGAGCAACGTTTACATAAATATAGAATAACGAAGAGATGTGATGAGCATCTGGTGTTGGAAATGCACAAAAGAGTAATTTCCAAGTGTCACAAGAGTTTACCTGTTAGCTACATATAGTTGATCATTGGGTGGAGGTGTCATTCGATTGGTAGACCTACGCTGGATTCAAGGATGATTTCTACATATTGGCAAAAGTCAGCTAGATGACTGTAGCAAATGGTAGAGTAGTGAACTATTGCTTCTTTAGGAATACGCAGCTGTGACCACAGTAATGACAGAACCCAGGACACTGAATTCACAAGGCTGATACTTTACCATCCAGACGCTGTGTGGGGATTCGATGGCCTGAGAATTCGAATTTCTTCGAAGTTGTGAGATACTGCATCACGAAGATGAAATGTCACGGTTGAGTACCTGTCCTTACATCAGACATTGTAGACGATACTGGTGATCAGAAGTCAATGAGATAGGCGGAATTATCTTTAGGCCTCAACAAATCGCAGAGTAAGCTATTTATTTCTATTATAATAATACCCAGTAATTGTGATGGTTTCATTTACGCGTAGAATTACCGATTAGTTTTAGAGTGGCGAAATAATTAGTAACTGTTGGACGAATGTGCTGTAGTGAACACGATTTGAAAATATTGTGCAATGAGAGGTGATAATGATGATCGTTAGTTATCACAGATTCAGAGAATGTTTGTTTCCTTTAAATTGTATTCCTTTATGTTCCCACTGGAAAAATTATATTTGTAAAATCTCAGCCAAATTGAAATGATTAATTCCAACGTTTCGTTCGGCAATCTGGTTCGAACTTCTTCAGGGAAATTAATCGAAATTAGTATAACACAGATTTATATATAAAAGAACATGTCTGGATTTCAAAATTTTGTCCTATCATGTAAGCCATGAAACTGCTATCAATATGTATAATAAACAAAATTATATCAACTGTGATCGATATTTGACCTCAGACTTTCAAAATTAGTCTACTTTTGTTAGAACAAGACATATAAGCGAACAATATTGTTGTTTTCAATTAGATCTTCTTCAGGCTTTACTCTAATTTACATAGACTAATATATAAAAATTTTAACCAATGACGGTGATTTTGTGGATCAAATAATAATAATGTGGTAAAGGTTTTGAACGAAGTTAATGATTATAACAATGATTAACGATGATTATAATGATAACAAAATATTGATAAATTTGAATAAGGCATTAAGAAGAAAAATTTCGCGAGATGATATCGTCATTTCGTAGTTTCTTTACAATCGCTTTACAACTAGCAACATGGTTAACAATAATAAAATAAAGATCATGACAATTACTCAGTTAAATAAAAAACAAAAGTACATGCTAATGACCAATCATATTTAAATAGTTCATGTTGCCATGGTAGGCGAAGATTGAAGTCTACTTATATTTTGCACACATATATCAGGCTGTATGTGATTAATTCAAAGTGCTTCCAGATCGTTCAACAACCAACCATGAATTAGAGTTATGTGATGAGATGATTGTGAAACAGTCATTATTATTGATTATGTCTCAAGTCAAAAAATCAACTTTATTTAATTATCCTGTAATTCTTCCGTGTGTATGACTCTTAAGACATACGCTCAATTCTGTATTTCGCTTCGATTTGATAAGCGACTGGGGAATTATTATGGAAACTCGTAATCACGTTTCGAGTTTATCATCTCACTGACTGTTCAATATCTTTCCTCGTGAGAATCAGATGATATGTTTTGTCGATTCTGAAAATGGTTCCAGAAAATTGAATGATATTGAATGCGTAGATTCTTCAATTTTAATCGATATCTATCACTGCACAGAAGAAAGTCAATTACTGTGGCTACCTAGAATAATCTAAATCACATCACACAGGTACATAGGATACCCGAACGTGACCTCACATTATTCTGTTTACTCTGAATTTCAAACCTAGGCCCATTAATATCGTAACAATTTGGCTCATTTCTACTGATATTCAATACACCTGCGTCAAGTGTTTGCCTGCATCTTAACCGCATAAGCTAATCTTAATATTTTGACACTTGGATATGCATACGTGTACACAATTCTCTGATCAATTATGTGAAAGTATTCCACAATCGACGCATATGATACTAATGCTGTAAAGTGATTCACAGTTGTCAAAAGACTACTGGTTGTTTATTTGATTGATGTATCTCAACCTGTACTGCATAATTTATATAATTATTTTTATTATTACTGTATGATCTCTCACAAAATGCAGGACACACTATATTAATAAACTTGCTAAACCTTGTAGAGGCAAACTCACATCGTCAGCCTAGTACTAGTTCTCAAAACGCTCACCAACACTCACGATATGACGAATCTACTTATGCGTGATTCTGAGAGAGCTAGTCGAAGAATTCCATAAAATCATCTGGAAACAAGGCAATAAATGCCATTCATCGTTAAGCGGATATGCTGTTTCTTTTCACTTCTTTTTTGTTTCTGTCGAAATATTGAGCACTATCACATTCTCACTCTTTCTTTTCAACCTCCTGATTACAAGACTCCCATCAAACTATCTATCAGACTGAACA